ATACATTGCGTTCACACGTGCAAAAAATACATTGTGTTCACACTTGCACTTTGTTTTTATATGATTGAGTGATTGGAAGTTTACAATTACTAGAGAGAGAGAGAGAGAGAGAGAGAGAGAGAGAGAGAGAGAGAGAGAGAGAGAGAGAGAGAGAGAGAGAGAGGTGCCTATTTGTGTGTGCATCCGACGATATAATGTGTAACGTAGAACACAAGCGTATAGGTTTTCACACACATGAACAAAGGTGTAGTAATTGTTGCAATTTGTTGCGGCATAGCTCACGTTTACTCTCTCTCTCTCTCTCTCTCTCTCTCTCTCTCTCTCTCTCTCTCTCTCTCTCTCTCTCTCTCTCTCTCTCTCTCTCTCCGCGTGAAGATAGCACGACAATTTGTCATCCTGGCCGGGAGGCAGTGCTCGCCGGCGGTGCACGTGGATCAACAATGAATTATGTGTGTGGCTGGTTAGGTGGATTTGGCCATCGCAAACGCATCGCATCCTCAAAATCATCCGGAAGCTTTTGGCGGTAGGTGTAGCCGCATAGCTGCGCGAACCTTCGGTACCCTTGGTGTCGATTGCCTTTGGCATCGAGTCTCTCATCTCCCACGAGGGTCTGCAAGAAATCATCGAGGCGCGCCTCTTCACCCACATAGCGCACGACACTCTCCACGTTAGCCGCAGCCACAGGCCATCGACTGTATATGTCATGCGCGGCGACTCGAGGTTGCGCCCGCCGAAGAACACGGCAAACGATGCGCCGAGGGATCCTCCCACCTCGCCCATTCTCCCCTCCACGTGCTCCAGCACGAATCCTTCGCCTTGCGTCGGCATCGTGCATTTCTTCCATGAACTCGTTGTCTGCGCCGTTCACGGGCAGTTGAACGTCTTCCATCATGACAAACAAGGCGGACTACAAGAAATACTGGCAACGAACGACCCGCCTAACACTGCAAAGCTTAGATGCAATCAACGACGAACAAGGTTTGACAACGATTTTCGCATCGGACTGTCACTACTTTGCAATAGCACGGGCCATTACAAGTTTTGTTTGCAATCATCACAGCAGCCGCGAAGAAACAATGGTTAATCATCACTCTTTTCATTGATTCGAACATGGAAGCGAACGACAACAATCCACATATATATAAACGTTATTGTTGGACAATACACATAATGCGACAATGTGGAGCGAACAGTCAAGCGACAGAGCTTGTATCATGCAACTGCAATCAACGACCCAACAAAAGGTTCGTCGTTGGGGTGCAAATAAGGAGGACAAACATGCACTCGCCCGTTTGCATGAACGGACCCGTGGTGTTCTTGTAGGATATGACGGACAACAGGGACGACAATGTCGTAAAGTTTGTCTCCAGGGCACGGACGAAGCACGAGGTTGTCAAAGTATGATGACGGTCTGGACATGATGATGCGTATGTGTGCCATCGAATATCGATATGTATATGTATCAATTGTCAAGCGAATCACCAGTTCATCCCCGACTGAAACAACTACAATGTGTCGTTCCTTTTTCGACCCATGAGGACACTCATCATCGTCATCATCGGAATAGCCCTTTTTTCAATCGTCGAAAGATAATAATGTGTTGTTTCGTTGTTAGTGACTTTGGAGGTGCAGAGGAGAGCATACAACATTGTGTTGTCTTTGTCAATTGTCGCTCTATTATTTCATCTGCCACAAAAAAAAAGAAACATAAATACAGGATAACATGCAATTGCAGAAGATAGATATCGCAAATTTGCAATGTGCGTACAACGTCGTACATGACATCGAAGAAATGAACAAATGAGTAAATAAAACTAGTGCCACAAGCCCATACGTATGGAGGTGGCCGGTCTAACCTCTATACATATCGGCGTTCGTGGCACCTTTCCTGGCCCGAACGACAGCCACCATGAATAAAACAATAAACAAACAATCAACAAAAGCATATTTCAAACTCTTGGGTTACACGAAATACTTCCCCAACAACACAATTACAACCAGTGTCGTACCCCCGTTCATCGTTCACGGGGTCTGTGGACGGAAACCGGTCATGGACTTTACAGTGTAGGAGTCCATGGAGTTCACGGAGAGCAGGATCATTTTTTTTTTTTTAATTTTCATGGTTGGGTGGGGGGTTGGGGAAGGGGTGGTTATAGGAGGGTGGGGGACGTCCGAAGGTAACTCCCCATTATTTAAAAAAAAAAAAAAATTAACGAATTGTTTTTTTTTTTTTACTAACGAAAAAAAAAACACATTGCAACCAGCCAAAATAAGGAATAACGTTTCTTATTTTGTAGGTAATTGTGATTTTTTTTATTTTTTTTTTCCCAATGTCATGACGATGTGGGGCTTGAGGCGACTGTAGGTGAGTGAGCCCCCTCCGCCCAAAATAAAAAATAAAAAATATAAATAAAATAAAGAACAACACTGATTCGTGGTCGCCCAGTTCACCGAAAACGGCCGTTCACAAAAAAACACCAAATGAACGGCCGGTCACGTTCACATTGGTTCAAGTGACCGGTGGTGGTCACATTCACGGGTCCGACACTGACTACAACACGAGACGAGAGAGAGAGAGAGAGAGAGAGAGAGAGAGAGAGAGAGAGAGAGAGAGAGACTTCCTTTGAACACGAAATGATGATGGGAACAAGATCGAAAACGAAATTTATCCCGACCTGCGACCGACCGAGGTTTACTTAACACAACACATTGCACGTAATAAGCATTGAGCGACTCGCTGTTGGCAGCAAAACAATCGCAAACAGAAAAGGACAACCCCTGCTCGATGCGCCATAGGCGTAATGACCCTCCCAAATTAGGAAGACTCAGGTTCAGAATCCGGGAAACCTATTTCCCAAAACCGTGTGGGGGTAGGTGGTCTTTGTTGATTACTGCGATGTCTAGAACACTCATCGACGTGAGCGTGTCTTTGTGCAGGCGTCAACGTGTCCTCAAAAAGTGCGTCACGAAACCGTTTGCATTGGGCACATTCGTGGTCGGGCAAACGAGCACGCGCATTTTTCAATCTCACAACCTCTATGCATCGAGGTCGACCAAGTTTCCTCGAGGCTGGCTTCTCGATCGCAACGGCGGCACCGTGTGTTGCGTCTGTCGAAGGTCGACGAAGAGGTTTCAAATCCGCCTCCCCCGTTCTATAGACGTCGAAGAGATCGGAACCGTCATCTTTGTTTTCTCTATGAGTCCGTTTCCACTTCCTTGGCTTGCTCTGTCGGACCGGCGGAAATATGGGTGGATGGAAGTATGGCTGGATTTCGTGAAGGCAGGAACTGTCGGACCGGCGGAAGGATGGACAGACGGATGGGTGGATAGGTGGATGGTTGTTTGTAGGATGGTTGTTTGTAGGACGGACGGATGGGTGGATGAATCGAAGGACGGATGGATGAATGGAAGAATGGACGGATGGCCCAGGACCGGTGGATGGACGAATGAATGGATTGAACAGACAGTTTGCACGTGTGTCGTGACCTCGTTGGTCCTCGTCTACGTCTCGCACTGTGTGGACCCACACAGCGTGAGACATTCCGTATGGACGCAGCTCCAGGGAGACAGAGAGAGTGTGTTGTGTCATCCCACACCCTGTGTGAGTCTCGGTGTGTGGACCCAACCCACATGCAGGCAGACACCTAGCCACTGTGTCGAGGTTCTTAGTTCCCCTATTTGCACACCCTGTGTGTGAGTCCTGTGTGCAGAGCGTGACTTGGATGTCCAACAGACATGTCAAAAACGAGGGTCCCTTGACCTGTACGATGTTGTATGAATGTCGTGGCGAGTTCTGAAATAACTGAAAAGCGGCAACTACAAATTTGTAGTGGTGCGGCTTGTCGGCATTTCGAGACGAAGTATAATCCTCATGCCAAACCACTCACAACACCCCCAAGACGACGACAGAAGAGGAGTGGAGGCGAAAGAAGGTAATTTGAAGATTTTATGGCATAGACATGTTGTGAACTGATAAAAATGACTGAACCACAAGATCCACGTAGAAAAACAGGGAAAAAAAAAAAAAAAAACACAAAATAGGGGATCCGCCAACACTCGGAAGATGGTACTTTTTTCGGGGAACAGTTCTTGTGAACTGTGTAATTGTGAATGTTGCAGTTAGCTGGAGTTTGGACGGAAGGAAAAAAATAATAATAATAAGAAAAATGAATTGTTCAGAATAGGCCTCTGCGCTGCACACACACACACACACGCAGACACACACACACACACACATAGAGAGAGAGAGAGAGAGAGAGAGAGAGAGAGAGAGAGAGAGAGAGAGAGAGAGAGAGAGAAGCCATTGGAGTTGTGATCGTCAAACAGAACTGCCCGGTAAACCGTAGGCAGAGAGGGAGAAGAGGACGACAAACGAGGGGCTGTGACAAACTGTATATATATATATATAGAAAGAGAGAGAGAGAGAGAGAGAGAGAGAGAGAGAGAGAGAGAGAGTTTGCCATCGATGGGATGAGCAAAATCGAATGAATGTAACGGTAGAACATGGGAATATA